GGGGGAGGGGTAAAAAGGTAAAAGTCAGAGGGGAGGGGTTAACGGGCAGAGGTCATATGGGGGAGGGGTTAAAAGGTAAAAGTCACAGAGGGGAGGGGTTAAAGGTCAGCTGTCACAGGGGAGAAGGGTTAAAGCTCAGAGGTCACAGAGGGGGAGGAGTTAAATATCAGAGTGGGAGGAGTTAAATACCAGAGGAGGAGGATTTAAAGCTCAGAGGTCATATGGGGGAGGAGTTAAATATCAGAGTGGGAGGAGTTAAATATCAGAGGGGGAGGAGTTAAATATCAGAGGGGGAGTGGTTAAAGCTCAGAAGTCACAGAGTGGGAGGAGTTAAATATCAGCGTGGGAGGTGTATAAGGTCAAATCTCAGGGTCTTACGCTGCTCTCTCTGGGGACGATGGGATGGAGGCGCCGTTACTGAGAGGACAAAAGACAAAGACAAACGGGTTAAAGACAGAACCAGAACCGGACACACGACGGGTCCTCCGGAGCGGAACATTTAACGTTTGAAACTTTAAATAACTTTCAGGTTTGTGCTGCAGATGTGTTCAACAGATTTATCGTTTCCTTCCATCCAGCTCTTCGCTCGTCAGACTGAAGGTTTATTACCGGCTTTACATTTATTCTGAACTGGACCCGAGCAGAACCAGATCCAGCTGCGGGGTGTTGTTAGAAGTTCAGCAGAACTCAGAGGTTCTGTTGGACTTTAACAGGTTTTATTTTCTTTTAGTCCTCTCATGTTACCTGCGCAGGCCCAGGTCCATCTGCGCCTCCTCGGGGATGAGCTCGGCCTCGCTCTGGGCGATCCTCAGGGCCAGCTCCCGGTCCCTCCTCTCCTGCTCCAGAACCGCCTGCCGGGCCACCTCCTCCTCCCGCTCCGCCTGCAGCTGCAGCTCCATCTCCACCTGAGGGCACAAACACACCTAGCTGCTGTCAACATCTGCAGCAGACATGTCTGAAACATCTGGCAGGTCCACCACACAGCTCCTCAGGCCCTCAGTTTGGTTCTGGTGGTTCTGGACATGTGAGGCTGGTCCCATTTAGAAGCAGGTGCTCCTGCAGGTGATATTAGCTCCGACAGCTAAACTCAGCTTCAGGTCAGCGTGTCGAGTCAGACTGGTGCATGCTCAAAAATCCAGATGTCTACAAACATCTGGAGCAGCTGTGAACCAGCAGGTGATGGTGCAGGGAGACGTGCACCTTGAAAACATGATGTTATTCCAGTGAAAGCTTTAAAGCCTCGACGGACCTGAAAAACCGCGGACCAGTTGGGCCAGGTCTCCTTGAAGGAGATGAACAACAAACTGATGGCTCCATCATCCAGGTATCGACTGAAAGGTCCAGTCTGGTCCTCCGGACAGGTTCTTTTTGGGAGGAATGTTTCGTCTTCATCAGTCGGAGGCCACCAGGATAAAAAGCCTTGACGTGTTTCAAACCAGCTGCTGTGGAGATCCCAGAAACTGGCGTGGTGTGGGAGGGGCTTAAGTCTATGATGGGGATGCCAAGTAAGAAAACTCATCACTCTCAAGTCCTCGTCTGCTTTGGAACTGTCCAATGAGTTTAACTCATTTTACAATAAACACTAATGACTTTACAGAGGAGCTCCGTCAGGTGCAACAGTCAATACCGACATTGGAGGTGTGGTGAACATGTTTCAAAAGACTAAAGGAGAAGTCCAGGTCCTGACGGCATTGGGGGTGTCAGACTCAAGAACTGTGTCCTGCAGCTTGCAGATATTTTCTGTTTTCTTTGTAACATGTCTCTCCAGACCTTTAGGGTCCCACAGCTCTGGAGAGACTCTGTTATTGTTCCACTCCCACAAACCAAGACTGCTCAGTCCCTGAACGACTTCAGGCCTGTTGCCCCGACTCCTTGACTTGTATAAACCTGTATAAAGAAAGGTTGAATGACTTCATTATTAATGAAGTCTTGAAAAACTGGTCCAGAAGACCCTCTTGTCAAAAGTTGAAGATCATTTGGACCCACTTCAATTTGCTTATCGTTTATGTAGAGGAGTGGAGGACACAACAGGAACTCTTAAATATGATTTTAGGACACCTTGAAGGTACAAAAACAGTTGTAAGATTATTTTTATTAATTTTTCATCTTTTAACTGTATTCTGTCCCACGTTAGCAGAGAAACTACAACGTCTGTACTGAGACGTCCTGCCTGTGTGGAACACCTGGAGAGCTGGTGCAGGAAGAACAACCTTCACATCAATGTGAAGAAGACGAAGGAGATGATTGTGGACTTCAGAAGGAACAAAAACACCTACACCCCCCTGAACATAAGAGGATCTGCAGTGGAAGTGGTCTCCAGCTACAAGTACTTGGGTGTGCACCTGAACTACAACCTCAGCTGGAGCAACAACACCACCAGCCTGATGAAGAAAGCTCATCAGAGACTCTACTTCCTCAGGCGGCTGAGACGAGCTGGTCTGGAAGCTCAGTCCTCACCTCCTTCTACAGGTGTGCAGTGGAGAGCATCCTGTGCTCCAGCATCAACGTGTGGCATGGAGGCTGCACAGCTGCAGAAAGAAAAGCTTTGCAGAGAGTGGTGAAGGCTGCACAGAAGATGTTGGAGTCAGTCTCCCCACCATCACAGACATCTACACCTCCAGATGCAGGAAGAGGGCCACATGCATCATGAAGGACCACACTCACCCAGCACACACACTTTTTGCCCCACTCCCCTCAGGAAGGAGGTTAAGGAGCATTAAGTGTAGAACCACTAGACTGAGGAACAGCTTCTACCATGAGGCTGTTAGACTCATGAATCTCTAACCAGAATAATCACTGTGAAAAACCATATCATGTTGCTGCTGATCTGTTTCATGTTGCTGATTTGTTTCATGTTGCTGCTGATCTGTCTCAATGTTGCTGCTGATCTGTCTCAATGTTGCTGCTGATCTGTTTCAATGTTGCTGATCTGTTTCATGTTGCTGCTGATCCATCTCAATGTTGCTGCTGATCTGTTTCAATGTTGCTGCTGATCTGTTTCATGTTGCTGCTGATCCATCTCAATGTTGCTGCTGATCTGTTTCATATTGATGCTGATCAGTTTCAATGTTGCTGCTGATCTGTTTCATGTTGCTGCTGATCTGTTTCAATGACCTACAGAACCTCAAAGATCCACAGAATCTCAATGACCTACACAAGCGAGGTCAGTGAACAAGGCCAGGCTGATTCTGGCAAATCCTGATCGCCACTCCATGGTGAGTTCAGGTGTCTTCCTTCACTCCATGGTGAGTTCAGGTGTCGTCCATCACTCCATGGTGAGTTCAGGTGTC